CATGCGTTCGTGCGTTCGTGCGTTCGTGCCTGCCTGCCTGCCTGCCTGCCTGCCTGCCTGCTTGCTGGCTTGCTTGCTTGCTTGTTTGCTTCTTTGTTTTGATGGTTTGTTCTTGTTTGTTTGTGTTTGATTGGTTGTTGTTGTTGTTTGTGTGTGTTTCTTTGCTTTGGTTTGATTGATTTTGTTTGCTTGGTTTGATTGTTTTGTTTGTTTTGTTTGTTTGTGTGCTTGATCGTTTGTTTGTTTCATTGCTTCTGTCTGTGCTTTGTTCGTGTTTTGGTTGTTTGATTGCTTGTTTGTTGGTTGGTTTGTTGGTTTGGTTTGGTTGGCTTGGTTTGGTTGCTTGGTTTGGTTGCTTGGTTTTGTGTTGCTTGTTTGTTTGTTTGTTTGCTTGTTTATTTGCATTTGCTTGTTTGTATCCGTGTTTGAATGTTTGTTTGCTTGTTTATTGGCTTGTTGGTTTGCTTGTTTGGTTGGTTGGTTGGTTGGTGGTTGTATTTGGTTGTTTCTTATTGTTAATTTGTTGTTTGTTCTTTTTTGGTGGTTGTTGCTTGTCTTCTTTTGTGTTTGTTTGCTTCTGCTTGTTTTTTTGGATTGCTTGATCGCTTGCTTGTTTGGTTGTTTCTTCGGCTTGTCCGTTGATTGGTTGGTTGGTTGCTTGGTTGGTTGGTTGGTTGGTTGGTTGGTTGCTCGGTTGCTTGGTAGGTTGGTAGGTTGGTAGGTTGGTAGGTTGGTAGGTTGGTTAGGTTGGGTTGGGTTGGGTTGGGTTGGTTAGTTGGTTGGTTGGTGGGTGGGTGGGTGGGTGGGTGGGTTGGTTGGTTGGTTGGTTTGTAGGTAGGTTGGTTGGTTGGTTGGTCGGTCGGTCGGTCGGTTGGTGGATGCATGGATGGATGGATGGATGGATGGATGGATGGATGGATGGATACGCATGAATGCATGGATGCGTGGATGCGTGGATACATGGATGTATAGATGCCTGGATGCATGGATGCATGGATGCGTGATGCATGCATGGATGGATGGATGGATGGATGGATGGATGGATGGATGGATGGATGGATGGATGGATGGATGGATGGATGGATGGATGGATGGATGGATGGATGGATGGATGGATGGATGGATGGCTTGTTTGCGTGCGTGTGCGCGTGCCTGCGCGCGTGCTTGCGTACCTGCTTGCCTGCTTGCCTGCTTGCCTGCTTGCGTGCGCGCTTGCGTGCGTGCTTGCCTGCTTGCCTGCTTGCATGCGTGCTGGCCTGCTTAAGCGCTTTGCTGGCGTGCTTGCGCGCTTGCGTGCTTGATTGCTTGCTTACTTGATTGCTTGCTTGATTGCCTGATTGCTTGATTGCTTGATTCCTTGCTTGCTTGCTTGCTTGCTTGCTTGCTTGCTTGCTTGCTTGCTTGCTTGCTTGCTTGCTTGCTTGCTTGCTTGCTTGCTTGCTTGCTTGCTTGCTTGCTTGCTTGCTTGCTTGCTTGCTTGCTTGCTTGCTTGATTCCTTGCTTGCGTGCTTGCGTGCTTGCCTGCCTGCCTGCCTGCCTGCTTGCTTGCTTGCTTGGGTTGTTGTTGGTTGATTGCTTCTTGCTTCTTGCTTGCTTGCTTTGCTTGCTTGCGTGCGTGCGTGCGTGCTTGATTGCTTGCTTGCTTGATTGCTTGCTTGCTTTGCTTGCTTGCTTGCGTGTGTGCGTGCTTGCTTGCTTGCGTGCGTGCGTGCTTGCTGTCTTGCTTTGCTTTGCTTTGCTTTGCTTTGCTTTGCTTTGCTTTGCTTTGCTTTGCTTTGCTTTGCTTTGCTTTGCTTGCTTGCTTGCTCTTTCGTTCGTTCGTCCGTTTGTTTGTGTGTGTGTGGGTGTGTTTGTGCTTGTGTGTTTTTGGGTTGGTGAGTGGGTGGGTGGGTGGGTGGGTGGGTGGGTGGGTGGGCGGGTGGGTGGGGCTGTGTGGGGTGTGTAGGGGTGGGGGCGGGTGTTGGGTGTAGGTGTGAGGGTGTGTGGGTGTGGGTGTGTGGGTGGGTGTGGGTATATGTGTATGTGCGTGTTGTTTTGAGGTTCACCATTTCGAGGTTGGTTTAAGGCAAACACACATACCCATGCGGTGGCTTTATACTATGCAAGCGTTGCCGCCAGGCATCCCAAAAGCAACCGGCTAGACCAAGGTCATCAGTCTGTGCGAGAGCATGGAATGCCCTTCCGATGTCTTCAAAGCCAAACTTGCAAAACGATGCCGTACCAGCAAGTCAGCAAGTTAGCTTCATGCAAGGGAAAGCTTCCTTTTCTTTTGCTCATCTGATCACAATTTAACTTGAACTTGTGGACTGCGACTGTACAACTGCACAAACTCGATCTGTCCGACTCGCTTCGGCGCCTTCTGCCTGGTGCTAAAGTTTTCAAGGTTTTCAGAGATTCGGTTGTCCGATAGCTCCAAGCAAAGGCCGTGGGACGGACAATCACCAGCCCCAAGATCTGTACATCACTGAAGCCTTGAAAGGTCAAAGGAAGCCTCGCATATTCTCCAGGATGAAAAATATCGATGCAGCACCCCGGAAACCATGCAATGAATGTGAACAGAATTCAACCAGGTTGCCCTCCTTCTGGTACCCACTGGCCATCTCGAACAACATAAAAGGTGCGGCCCTTCGTGGATGAAGTTGGTTTCGCTGGCAGCGGGGATGAGGGTAAACGCTGATTTTCGAATCTGTACTTGATCACCCATTGCGGATAAGCACAGTCTTGGCCAACTACGCGCATGGAGGTGTTATCCAGCACGGTGTAGTAGTTCGAGACCACGCAAACAAACAGGTGCTTCCATCCTCCGGCATCATGGGCATAGCCGCCGTCGCTGTATGACGCGTTGTATGCGAACCAGGTGCCATAGCCAGCTCCACCACTGCAGCAGCGGGAAGTCTGGAATCCATCACTCAGGATACGCTCATAGTTTTGCACGCTCCTGCCTTGGTCGATCTAAGACCCGAAAAAGTGAAACTTGTTGATAGTTGGTAAGGCAACCATCATTTTCCAACAGCTTCGTACTACAGAGCACCAAGCCACAGCCGTGGAACATGAGTGTATTGTCACCATTGCTCATGAAGCGCTGTTGAACGCCCTGTTGCGTTATCCTGGAGAGTGAATGGATCTCAGGCTCGCGGGACAGAGTCTGCTGGAAATACCTAGTAATCGCTTCATACTCCGGTGAGCAGGCATCGATCTGCTCCAGCTTCTGACGCTTGGGCTGTCCGGGCTTCCCACGCCCAAAGTGCTTGCCAGTCCGGAGGCTCTGCTCAGATTCCTCGCCCTTTGCAAACTCTAAAGCCGCAGCATGAGCTTCCGGGAAGGGTGGGCTCACTGAAGCTTGCACGCGAGGCACGGTAGAGAAGATCCTCTGCTGCGGCTTCTTGACTTTCGGCGGGGACTTGACGGCTTTGGGCCTGGCAGGCACCAGCCTCGGAACCGAGAAACTGAAGCAAGAGCACTCAAGACACGCAGGATTGAGACCTTTGAGGACATGCACGACAGACAAAGAGCAAGGCCGATCTGCCAAGACTTAGGCTCGGACTTGCGATAAGCTGCCGCAGTACTCGCTGCAACGCGCTGCGCCATTTCCCACCGCGTCGGCTCCAGCTCAGACTTCTCTGACTTGCTGGAGGCATTGCTGGAGGTTGAGCACGAGCTGCACGTCGAGCCTGAAATCCCGGAGCAAGTCGACTCGGAGCCGCTGTCCCAGTCGGACAGATCGTCAGAGTCATGGAACTCCAGAAAAGAATGGTCAAAGCTCTCCCAGTCTAGTGCTTCACGCCCGCTTGACATCATCCAACTTTCCGGCTCCCGCGGGCTCTTGTATCTCTTGGACTTTGTCCGACAAGCATCGCTCTTCTGCTGCGAGTGTTTGTGCCTGTGGGCCACACTGTGGGCCATCCTTGCAGTCGCATGCTCGCAGGATTCCAACCTATGCAACCACTTGCTGGCAACTGACTTGGAGTAAGAGGAACGTCCTGATGTGTCCCTGCCATCCAAGAAGTGGCGATAGCCCTTGCGCATGGGCCATGCAGTTTTGCAGAAGTCGAGCTCGAGTGCCAGTTCTGCCATAGCCTCTTGGCGTCTGAGTCTATGCACCTTGCTGATTGATGATGCTTGCACCGCCGAGGCTGCATGCACAATTGACGGCTTTGAAGCACTCTTTTCAAAAGAACAGTTCGTTCTCAGACCTACTGCACAATGCTGCAACAATGAAGCTTCATTTCACCACGGCATCTCCCGCTAGCAAAGGCATTAGCCTTGCGATTGACGGCACTAGCTTGGCAACTGACCGCCTCAGCTGCCTAATCAACCACACTCGTCGCAGCGGAGCAAGGAGAACGTCCATCGCGCGTGCTCGGAGTCTAAATGATCCGTCCCTCCGGCCGAGACCAAAAAACTATGCATGTCGGCTTCTACTTGGGTCAAATCACCCTCAGAGGTCGGGATGAAGCGCCTGAAGTCAAAGCCTGGCTGAGCTCAGGCAAAAAGCAGACTATGACATGCAAATTGAACATAGCCAGAGATCTGCAACGGGGGAGGTCGAGCAGTGGCAGAATGACGCCATTGAGCACCCACTTTGAGGACTGTGCAGTCATGCCAACACGCCGCCCAGTGCAGCCTGCTTCCCACTCATCCTCACGAGCAACACGGCGAAGTGGATGGCAATAATAGCCTCAATTCGCGCGCCCATGCTGTTGCTCCCTGGCATTTCTTAGTTCCGGACCTGCCAACCAGTGATCCCACAACGTCAGGGATGTTCTTTTCGGCAGGAGCACCTGAACTGACAGAGCACCAGATCAGCAATTGGAAGCTTGGTCGGATGCTTTAGCTATTGAAAGTAGGGGAACAAGCGAATTGACTGCAATTCACCAGGAACATTTGACCATCCACCGCAACCCCCCTTCATGGCAGCCTGCGCTGCCAAATCTCGGCGGATGAAGAGCACATGGTCAAACTCCACCTGACGTGGCAGCACGGGGTCAGGTTGACCCAATTGGCCTACACTACCAAGCACGTTACTGGGATGGCCTGGCGGGGAAATTAACCCCACGTATACAAAAACCGCTGACTTGGTCGACAAAGCATGCGAGCGATTCTGCCCGTGCAATCACTCTGCCACTATTCACTCGCTCATTTACAGGGCCGAAATTGGTGGTCAGAACCCCAACCGACATAGCCCATTGTTGTTGCTTGAGACGCACCTGAGCCACGACATAGACCTCTGGCCCACCCAGGGATCTTGAGATGGCGCCTTGACAGCAATCGGCCAGCTGCTAAAATCTTCGTGTTGTCCCAGACACTTTGGAGCCATGAGCCGATAGCCTATACGTCCCCGAAAGCCTCTCTGGCTCCTAGCCTCACAAAAGCAAGAGGTTTGGGAAACCCTCACTCAACTTGATTGCGTGTGAGCACAGCTCAGAGGTCCACAGCCCAGACTGGATGTCCGAGCGGCTCAGGGAGCAACCTCGCACCGCCTGGGGGAGCTCTTGCCCCGCCTGGTGCAGGTTGAGTGCTGCAGTATTCATGGGAGTTCATCCCTAACTCGTGCTGGAGTTTGACCGATTGGGCCTGGCACAGGTTTGGTTGGTTGGCTGGTTGCCTGGCTGGTTGTTTGGCTGGTTGGCTGGCTGGTTGGTTGGTTGCTCGGTCTGTTGGTTGGTCTGTTGGTTGCTCTGCTGGGTGGGACTGTTGGTTGGTCTGCTGGGTGGGACTGTTGGTTGGTCTGTTGGTCTGTTGATTGGTCTGTTGATTGGCTGTTGGTTGGTCTGTTGGTGGGTCTGTTGGTTGCTCTGCTGGTTGGACTGTTGGTTGGTCTGTTGGGTGGAGTGTTGGTTGGTCTGTTGGTTCGACTGGGTTGGTCTGTTGATTGGTCTGTCTGTTGGTGTGGGGTGCAGACCAAGACAGCACAGCCGCCATCGCCGAGTTAATGCGTGTATATCATATACACATGTTCATCATGTTCAATCATTTTCAGCAGTGAGAGGGCCACCTGCTGCGGAGACCCGTGCCAAGGGCCAGGGCTAGGCCAAAAACAGACGTGCGAGCCACCACGATTTCAGGCCCACAAGAAGAGCTTGGCGGCGAACGAAAAGAGAGAACATTGCCATGCAGAGTCGCCTCGATGTATTCCATGAGCTGGTTTTCATGGAAGTGCTGCTTCTGTGCGAACCTGGACCCAGCAGGGCTCCATGTTTTATTTCCCCATGGAAGTCGACCCGCCCAGTTTGCTCCAAGGGCACGGGGGCGGGTAGTAGGGGTTCATCTCTGCATGCACCAGCTTGGGCCGAAGCCACGGCACCAACTCCTGCGCTCGCGGCCTTCGGGGATCCAAAAGGAACCAAAGGTATCGCTTGGGAAAAGAAGGCTTAAACAATAGATTCGTTTGTGTGTGTGTGTGTGCGTGTCATTGATCACCCCCAATCCTGCCCCGAACGCCCAACCTCCACCCCCCCCTATCGTGCATCGTGGCTTAAACCCTAGTTCAACAGGGGGGTTGAATTGAAGCCTTGGTTCTCCTCCAAGAAGTCGCAGTCCCCGAAATCCACGTCCAGCTTTAGCAAGTCCAGCTGGCCGGCCGCCAAACCTGAGCTGCATCCCTCCAACCGAGCCTACGGCCCCCGCCCCCCCCCCCCCCCGGCAGAAAGAAGCTTAGAATCGTCTTAGGGCTTTGGGAACCTTTTCGGTCAGGAACCGCTCAGCTCCCCAAACCAAGTACCCCAATCTGTATCGCTGTCTGACCTGCCCAAGGCCTTCGAGCGAACCAAGAAGCCGCAAAAAAGACACGCCAACGATCCAAGCAAGCGGAGCGCAAAGCAAAGCAATGCATCAGAACTATCCAACACTTCCAAATGTCCAATCCCTGCTTGTGCATGCGCTCGCGTGGATCTTTCCGACGGCACCATTGCAGCGTAGCAGCTCTCCTGCACTCTGCGGGCTTCAGCTCCGGGTGCCGTGCCGTCACAGGGCTCTGCCCGCAGAATGGCCACTCGCACATTGGACGTGGTTGCGATGCCCTCGCCTCAACTGATGGCCGAACGTGGGGCTGCGCGAGTGCCTCTTCGTTCTTCAAGGGTAGCCTTCGTGGTTTGCTTGTTGGTTCATTGTTTATCGATTGAAGCGATTTGCCTGTCTTGTTTTTTTGTGGGACGGAGGAGCTCATGCTTACAACACACACACACACACCTGCGCGCACGCACGCGGTGTCTGTGGCTCCGACTGCACAAAGCGCCCCCACGGCCGGCGAAGCGCCGCCGCATTTTCTCCACGCTGTCGTGTCGTCCCTCCAAGAAGACCTCAAGAAGCCCCGTCACAGAGTTGTGCGAAAGGAGTGAATTCAAAAATTTGGGCTGATAGGGGAATCCAAAAATTGGGCACAAAGGGTAACCAAAAAGGGAAGCGGACATGGTAGTGAAACCGCATTTTTGAACACACACACACACACACACTTGAACAACGGATCTAGCGCATGCGTGAAGACTCGACCAAGAAAAGATGTCCCGGAGGGTACATGTCCTGTCATGTAGCAATGACCGTTGCAAATTGCACAAAGGTCACATGAAATTTCTTGGCAAAGCTTTCCCTCACCAAAACTCAGAACACGCCTCAACTTGTTGTGTCACTGCAATGGATGCTTTGAAAAAAGTGCTTTGTGTCGGTATGATTCAATGATTTCTGAGAGTTTCTATGATGAAGTGACGTTGGGAGCTCCAAATGTTTGTTTTCCAGGGCAAGCCCATGACCGCATGGAACGCAGAATGCGGTTGCGCTTCCTCGTCGCCGTCTTCGTAAGCTTTGCAATCCCCGGCGCTCCTAGAGCTGATCGCGTGCTAGACGCGCACGCGCACGTGCAGTACATGTGTGGCAGCTCCGGTGCAAAATATCACCCTTGTGTACAAGACATGCAGCTCGTAGCCTGCTGTTTTTCAACTTGCGTCCTAGGTTCCAAATTGCCGCTTGTTGACCATACGAGTGTCAGTGACTCTGCGTTTGCCGTGTTCTTGGGCCTCCCCTTCTCAGCCAAGATTCCGTTTCCATGCACTTGAATGTCTGTATGTATATGCAATGAACGTGGGCGCGTGTGCAGTTGCGTCATCCTCATGATCGTCATGATCATTATCAAGGATTCGTGGCGCAAACCACACTTGCATATTCAAGAGAGTAACGTGCAACAGTCCTTCAAGCATCCCACGCTGATGCATGCGCGTTTTAGAGAATCCTTGCCAGTGTAGGTATTTGTCACGCATGGATGTCTCGATCACCTGCATTGCGCTTGTGACAGCGTGGTTTGTTCCGAAACCGCTGGCAACGTCGGCTGTCAGCAAAGGCATGGACTTGAAGGAAGCCCGTATATACTATGGGAGATTGTGCAAGAAGAGTTGATAAATCATCGAACAGCTGATTTTTTTTTAAAAAAAATAAATAAATAAAAATACAGCACGTTCTCTGTGATTGACAACCCTCCTTTTGCAAACTTGAGCGGGATCGGAAGTTTGCACAACCCAACCAGCATTTGCAGGCAGGTCACTCCGCCAAAGCCATGATAAGAGAGCAGCAAGCAGTTGGCTGGATCAAACATCCAGTAGCGTGCTCCACCATGGTTGCAGCCACCATCATCGGCGCCAAGGTTCAATACCGTTCTGCTCAGTCCTCACAGTTACTGGTCAAAGCCTGCCGTAAGGTCCCAAAGATTGTGAATTGACGCATTCGGCCTGCCTCCCGAGCGGACGTTGATAATGTCCATGATATCCTCGGTCGACGTCTTGCTGTTGCTGCGCACTGCGCCCTGAAGATCCTCCGATGCTGTCAAGCATGCGGATGGCAGGTGCTCTACAATGGTCGGGATCAAAATCTGGGAGTTGCAAACATATTCTGCTTCGTGCCGCAAAAAGCCTTTACATGGCGCGTTTTGCATCCCCTGCATCATCAAGACATTTGCTGCTGGCAAAGCACTGTGCCTCCCACGCAGAACACAATCTCCCCAAGCAGCATCCAGGATTTCACAAGCTGCAAAGTCCCGCGCTGCACAACACAAACAGCATCCCCAGCATTTCCGGGACTTTCTGGGCAGTCTGGCTGCATCACCAGCATTCCAGTCAAGGGGTCCTGCGTGTGCGCGGACCCCGACCGGTCACGCCTTCGAACACATGCGCCTGCGCGGACTGGCGAGGCCAAATGTGCTTTAGCATGAAACGAGTTTACATTTAAACACAAGCTCTGAGGCATCAGCATGGATGAAGAGGTGCCAAGTCAAACCTGACATCAAATCCAGAAGCAGAGCAATAACCAATTGCTGAATCCAAGCGGCTCTGCGTGGTGTCCAGCCAGGGTCGATGCCAGAAGCCTTCACTTCTGCAAGAATGCCTATGGAGAATCTCCCGTAGGACCTGCCTGAGTAAAAATTCCTCGTCCCATATCGCTGCAGGTCCTGTGACTCGCCCAGACAAATTAAGTGTGGCGGGCACGAAATGTCCGGCCTCACACACGGGATTGAACTCCACAGCCCTCGAAAAATGATAGAACTGCCCACCTTGGCACTGTGCTCCCACACGTGCGCTGATTGAGGAGCATGCACGAAGTGGGCACAGCGCACAGCTGAGATACGCACGAGGTGGGTTCAATTCCATGTACTTGCCGAACTCTTCCTTGTCAAGCATGTTTTTTTTGCAAAGAAACTGCAACACACCGCTGCCTGAGACCCACTACTGCGGGCCAAATAGTCCGACCACCGTACAGCCTTGGAAACATCCATGACTGGACGACGAATCGAGATGCTGGGCAAAAGAACACAAGGCCCTCCCTGCTTGCGTGTGACACGTCAAAACAGGAGGACTCTCAAATGGCGGAATGGCAGCTTCCCTCGAAAACACACACACACACATACACATCTTCAGCTTAGCCAAAGCACCTGGCTAATGATTCGGAGGCGCTGGTCGAAGCGCTGGAAGACCCAAAAGAGGACGAACTGCAAAATGTCGTTGACCCCACGCTGCAAGGCTTGGCTGCAGAAGCTGCCTGCAGTGAGCGTGCTTCAGAGGCCACACCGATTGGACCTTGCAGTTCGTATGCAAATTTACATATCACATACTGTCTATTCCATACTACATATGCATGATCGAGTGACCACCGAGACGGCTGTGCCATGACCTGCACGACAAGTGTTTGCAAGAGAGGGAGTATGATACCTTCTTACCCGACTCTCAGACCTCGTTTTGCTAAAGGTTACCACAATTTGCCTCTTGTCTCACGGTTCTGTCTTCTTCGTTGCCGTTCCGTCTTCCCACTCTTGGCGCCGTTGCAGAATGGCTACTCTTTCCTCCCGGTCCCTTTTTCGCGCCTTTCGTCGGCTGCTTGTTGGTTGCGAGTTGGCTTCATCGTTTTTCTGGTGTCTGTCTTTGCCCTCCCCTTCCTCTTTCTGACTGTCTTCCTGCGGGCGCTCCTCGTTCCCGTCGAGTTTGGCTTGACGTCTTCTTCCTCCTCCGTTGGCTTTCTTTCTTTCTTTCCTTCCTTCTTCCTTCCTTCCTTCCTTGCTTCCTTCCTTCCTTCCTTTCTGTCTTTCGTCCTTGCTTTCGTCCTTGCTTTCTTTCTTCCTTCCTTTCTTTCTTTCTTTCTTTATTTATTTCTTTCTTTCTGTCATTTCTGTTTTTGTATCCTTGGTTCTTTGTTCGTTTGTGTTGTGTGTGTGTGCTTCTTTGTGCATGTGTGTCTGTGTGCTTGTTTGTGAATTTGTGTGTAAAGAGCAACTGCCGACGCTTGACACTCTAGAAGTACCCGGTGAGACTAGCAGGTCTCCAGCTTTTGACCAAGGAAGACTTCAACCCAGGGGTTCCATTCTTTCGCGAATCAAGCCCTGGGTTTAAGTCTCCCTTATTCGAAAAATGGCCGTGGGTCAAAATAGGTACTCAAAATGGCACCCTGGTAAATGGAAACAATGACTAAAACCTGTGGTCCCCTGGTGGTTTAATTCTGACCCATACCCAATCGGAATTCTGACCATTCCATCGGCGCCTTGACCTAGCCAGGGCGAGAAGGCCTCCGGTGCTTCGCCTCACGAGGGCGGAGGGCCGCGAAGCAAGCGGACCCGTGGCCACATGGCCATGGGTCAAAATCGTACCCCCAGTGAACATCCCAATCCCCATTAGAATAGACTAAAGTGCGTGGTGCACCTACCCCACTTGAGGAGCGGGTGAACGAAAGCTAGCAGTTGTTGCATGAGATGGGTCGGTGACAGAGTGGATTCATAGGTAGCTTGTGTACAACGAGAGGCCCGGCAAGATTCGTAGGATGCGACACGCAAACGCACATGGTGGCGTGGCAAACCTTGAAAAATGAAAACAACGAGAGGCGTCAGAAGCTGTCTTAAAGCACCTCTGAGTTCTGCATGCAGCGTGTGCAAAGATTCTTGCGAGGTGGTTTACCGAGAAGACTGAGGTCTCAAATGAACAAGCTGAATCGGTGGAACATGTAAAAGTTCATAGCACCAAGTCCAAAACGGGCAAACCGAGACTTTGGGCATTTGAGCCCCTTACCTTGCTTACGCAAGGAGAAACTTCAGCTAGCTAAAGCTAGCTTTCGTGAAAATGGTACCATCGGTTTGGACCCACAGCCACATTCCTTTGTGCCGCCCAGACCTAAGGGGGCCCTTAGAACGAGCCTTCCATGCGGACAAGCACGGCAATGCCTGCAGTGCCCGAGTTCTATGGGCCTTGAAGCGGATACACCGAGGGGCTCTCAAAATACCTGGTGGGAAACCGGTTCTGCGACCATTAAGAGGTAATTTGCAGGATGTCTTCCGAAAATGGATCCAGAAAACAATAAAGGCGGCAAGCGGCCCAGCAAGCTTGCAAGCTGTAAGAGGACCAAGTCGATAATCGCGCAGACCTGGCAGCGCGCTGCTCTGGAACACGCCGTTGAGCTCATGGCAAAGCAGTTCCAAAACCGGCCTCAACCTGTGCTACTGGACAAGTACGACATATTATGAGAAAGATGTAACAAGATTTGGCAGCACAAGCCCTGAGCCCATCGATCAACCTGCATGGGGGGGGGAGCAAAAATGACAGGCCTGATCAAAGGCGCTGTGCGCTGCCTCGAAGCAGTGCCAGTACCTGCGGGTGGCAAAGTCTTTGGCCAGCAAAGCGCAAATCATTGTGGATGCAATCATCATGGGCACGCAAAATGCTCATTAGACGGCCAACCAACCAACCAACCAACCAACCAACCAACCAACCAACCAACCAACCAACCAACCAACCAACCAACCAACCAACCAACCAACCAACCAACCAACCAACCCACCAACCCACCAACCCACCAACCCACCAACCCACCAACCCACCAACCCACCAACCCACCAACCAACCACCAACCCAACCAACCAACCAACCAACCCCAACCACCAACCCACCAACCCCAACCAACCCACCAACCCACCAACCCACCAACCCACCAACCCACCAACCCACCAACCCACCAACCCACCAACCCACCAACCACCAACCCACCAACCCACCAACCCACCAACCCACCAACCCACCAACCCACCAACCCACCAACCCACCAACCCACCAACCCACCAACCCACCAACCCACCAATCCACCAGCCAGCCAGCCAGCCAGCCAGCCAGCCAGCCAGCCAACCAGCCACAGCTATCCAGCCACCCACCTAGCCACCCAGCCATCCACAGGCAGGCAACCCCAAATCAATGCGGACAGTGTTTCAAGTGCGCTTCCTGCTCCCTTCCCCCCTGCCAAACGTGGGTGCCATTTTTGGGGAACCAGGTTGGTTGAAAAGGACACCAACAGAAAACCATCATTGTTGTATTTTTGACTAAGGTAGACGTAAGCACGGTGGCTTTCCTTAAGCCGCTATCCCTCTTTGCGGATAAATAGATACCCAAATGATGGCCCAAATGTGGGTGTTTCTCAACATGGGGGACCCTTTTGATGGCCTTTCCCTTTTATCACTTTAAAACCCTCCAAAAAGGAAACAGGCGGAAGTTGCGTCACACGTGTTCTACTAAGTTTTTTACCGGCCTTTGTCCTCCAAAACGGAGCCTGTTTTGAGAAATCCCCAAGTGAACCCTCTCCTGAGGATGCAGTGCAGCTCCTCCACACTGCCGGCCAGCAGCAGCAATGAAGCAAAGGACCTGAAAGGAACCCCTGGATGTGTAAACGGGCTTTGTTTGGGGCGATGTTTGCTGAGCCCATGCTTAGCTACGTGATAGGGGACTGTCTCAAGATTGATGTGTTGCTGCTTGAGCTTGGTCGCATTGGAGCTGGCTGACGGCAGTTTTGCGTGAGGTGTCCGGATTGTTGCAGGGTCAACGTTGCCCCCAGCAACCAGCTGAGACACTGCACCTACTTGGCCACACCTGCAACAGCAAACTAAGCTGGCCAGGCAGGCTTGGCATGGCGCTCATCCCCAGGAGCGGCTTGCGCCTGAGCAGGCGCGCTCCATGCTTGAGACAAAATCAGCAGAACCAAGCTGAGCAAAAAACATGCTGTCATCTGCAAATCGATGCGGGTTTTGTGGCAAGCACCGTCTCCAAAGCTAACTCCGTGAAGGTGCGAGCCTGCGAGCAAGGACCCAATGGCAGGCACCATTTGAGTTGTTCACAATGCAAGAGCAAACCTCATCTCGCAGCATGATTAGGTTGGGGTACATATTCAACCGATCCGGTTTGAGACAATGACCTTTTCACCTCTGTATTCTTCAGCAAGCTTGAGTTCCGTAGACACTCCAGAATCAACACCAATCATCACCTGCGCATACAAGCGGGCTGTTGGACGGTGGGTTCAGGGTGGAATTTAGGGTGAACACAATGTTTCAGCCGGTGGCACCAGCATCCTAAACACCAACAGACATCACCCACGGGCTGTTGGTTCAGGGCAGGGAGGATGGGTTTGGGTAGGTTCGGGGCCGTTTAGGGTTCCTTGAAGGTGGGGAAGCGTGGGCGTTGGGCGGGGTTAGGCATGTTTCTGCCCTGTAAGTTGAGGTTCTGGTGGGGTCGGGGTTGGCGAGCAGTGGGTTGAGGGCGGGTGTTGGGTTTGGCTTGTGGCTTGCAGGTTGATTTGGGGCTGAGATTGGTTCAGGGCTTTGCAGAAAGCCAAATGAAAAAGCCCAAAAGCGCCAAAGGTCCACAAAAAGCCAAGCAACAAATGCCCCATGAAAGGTGCAAAAGCTGGTTTGTTGTGCTGGAGCAACATAAACGAAGCAATCCACGAAACACAGAAGGCAAATGACCCTCTAACAATCGCGCCGATTGTCTAGCAGTTTGCCAGCTCGCTGAGGTCAAAGTGCCCGCCTTTGCCCATAGATTGTCATATGCAGCATGCTCGCAGCCGCTGGTCCTGCGAACCCGCTGCTAATTTTCGACCCGAAAAAGATGACCTGACGAGCTGAAGGGGAGCCGAGCGCTGTTTTCCAGAACCACAGCTCTGCTTCCGAGAGCAGTTGCAACCATGCGGGAAGCATTGCCGTTTCTTGCCCCGAAAATTTCAAGGCGGGCAAGGCACTCGATTGAAGATGCAAACAAAGGGATCGTATCATGGCAACCTTCGGCTCGATGTTTGTCGAAGCCGATGGTCCAGTGCTCAGGCTCAGGTGTTTTTGCGGGAACCGGTTGGTTAAGGAACCCTTGATGGAAGTGAGCCTCTGCCTGGCTGCAGGCGGTGGGCAAAGCCAGCCTGAGCGCGGCAGGGGGCGCTACGGGCAAACGTGGCGGGGGTGGGCTTCGGACTTTGCCGCCACTTCACCTGAGGAAAACCATCCGCACGTGCCAACTTGGGTTGGTGCATAACCCCCCTTCCAAGATCAAAGTCTTCCAAACGGAAACTGCGTACATGGAAAGTGTCCATAGGTCACGAGCAATGCTCCCATCTTCATTGCCAAGATGCCAGAAGCTGCCCCTTTGGCCAGGCCAAACGAGCTGATACCCCTGTAGCTGCCTTGTGCATGGCACGCTCCAACCCCCAACATCCCCAACCCTCGCATCCAAGCACAGAGCTGCCCTGCCCCCTGCCCTCTTCTCGCCTCTAGCCTCTGCACTGCGAGCAATGCCTGAGGAGTCTCCGGAAGGATGAAACCTGCAGGTGTCCAACCCTCAGCTGACATGCAACCGGATCTCCGATGTACTGCAGCTGGCCTGTTTTCAACCAGCCTGCTTACCAGACCCAAGATGACGTGGAGCTCCACAAAGAAACGCGGGTGGCGCTTGGAAGTCGGGTCTGTGTGCCCGGCCTCTCGCATCCGCGGTGGACTCCGCGCGCAGCACGCAGCAGGTCTCATACGTCAACGGAGGCCTCCTTGGAGCAGAATTTGGGGAATCCTATCCGTTTCCAAGGACAAAATGGAGGATGTCCTAAGTATCCTACAGGAAGAGAACGAAATCCGGGGCATTGCATTTGCACACCAAGAAACACTGGCATTGACCGAAAAATGCCGTACTTCGCAAACTCTGCAAACGGATGTCTACCTTGACAATGCACAGGTGAACGAGGCGTGTCGACTTTGCTAGGCGGCAGACCAGCAATCGTTGGCCAAAAAGTTCCGGCAGCAAGTCTCCCAGGTCAAACCGTTGCTCCAGCAGGCCTTGACATGTGGAACCACTGTTGGGCTCTCCTAATTTTGGGCTTTCCTTTCACACCAGCCAACAAGGGGTGAGGGGTTCTCAGAAAAAGGCACCCATAAGCCGCTGAAGAGGCAAACGTAGGTGTACCAGCTTCAAAGCTTGCAAGAGCCAACCGAGCTGCTAGCACTCACATTCATGCCATGCCAAGCACAGGGTCTGAGCCGTCCGTCAGCTATGAAATGATGCGGAGTCACGGCACAAAGGCGACATGTGGCAAGGAATAGATTTGGGGGCCAGCCTTGGATGCTGTATGTGAACTGAGACCTGCGAAGGAAATACACTCTCACCCAAGCGCAAACTCTTTCGAGCCTGTCGCATCGCTTGTGGTGCTTGGCACCACAGGGAAGCCCTTTGAGGAAAAAGGTCCACTGGAAGGCACCCTCGTTTACAGCAAGCCTTTGAGGGAAGCTGAATAGCCTGAATAGCCGTTGTGTCCTTGAAGTTGGAAGTGTTCCCCGACCGCAAGGCTCTCCAACCATGTGGACTCCATGGTGCAAAGTGTGGCCACATGTGGCCACTCATGCCACCCCCCGCGCGCTTCACGACGCAGGGGGCAACCGATAAGAACTACCTCACATTGAACAGCGCTCAAAACCCATTGACTGTTATTCTACTATCCCTTACCAGAAGTATCTTGAAAGCAGGTAGAACTATCGACTAAATGGCCAATAGAGGTTTTGGGCGCTCATTTGACAAGGGCGGAATTATATAAATATCACAAGGAGCAGCCACGGCTCGCTTGACAAATGCGTTGCGACCCAAATACGTGGTGCTCCAACCCACTGCAAAACGGAAAACCCGCGGCCAGCCTCAGATTTAACATGAGGACTCGCAGAGAACCCTATTGGTTTATCTGTCAGACAGGCAGGCCCATGGCACTCATTCTAGACCACATGCCCGGTCCCTTTGCGACTCAGCCTGCTCAGTGTATCCTGCAATGGCCACAAACACGATATGGCGTAAGGTCTGATCATTTGTGTCAAAGGGTCCACATAGAACGACGTTGGCCGTAGAATAGCAATCCTACACGGATGTGTTGCGATTTGCGCTCCAAAACACATCCACTAGAATTGTTGCCCGTAAAGTGTTGCTGGAAGGCCTGGCTGTCATGAAGGAAACTCATCTGGCAACAAAGCCTTCAACTTCCAAAATCATGGCTTAAGCAGGGAAACGTCTTCATACTGACCTTAGATGAGCTTGTGCCTCAAAGAGCGCTCTCATGTCACTGCTGGTTTTGTCATGGTTTCCAGCAGCGAAAGCCGTTGTCCGTGGGCCCAGGTGGTAGAGCCAACGCATGAGATTTCATGGGGCATCGTCAATAAGAGACCCGCCAAGATTTCACAGGAGCATGGCTGCCTGACTCAAGCCCTTGCACGTTGGCTTCTTCGATAGGCTAGGTAAAAAACCGCCTTAGCTACAAGGCTCTTGCCAATGCAGGTAGGTGTGCAAGCGACGCGCTTGAAATGCTCCATGTCCGTTCAGTATTGGACCCGAAAAGATGGGCGTGCCTTTCAATCAAACCACAAAGGGGGTTCCCACAAAGCAAGCAGACCCAGTTGTGGGGACACTCAAAGCAGGCCACCTTGAGGGCCTTCTAGGCCCTGCCTAAACAAAGCAAGACGTCACCACGCGGCCAGCGACGAATGGCCTCTACAAACGTCAGATCGCTGAGTGCTGATGCGAACGCATCCCCCTGAGGGAATTTTCCGAAAGCTACAATTGCTGACATCCCAGAGCCAAACTGCGCAGTTGCCCCACGCGTAGCAGCCAAGCAAACCAGCCGCGGGTTCCACTCGCACGTAATTCCATAGCTTGCAACTGCAGCCCCTGTAGAATACCTGCACTGAGCATCACACACCAGAACAAAACTCATCGCTGCACAGGCAGTCTGGTGACATCAGGCCAATCAGCTGAGCCTTGTCACTTGCTTGTGAAAGCAGGCGACAGCTCTCTTCCGGCAATGGGTGGTGATTTTGCAACGCCTGCATGTAGACCGCCCTGATGGCAACTTGCAAAACGGGCGAGTGTCGATGCTTGCCCACGGGCCCGCAGAGCTAAACCACTTGCTTGCCGAGTCAGGTCTAGGGGATTATCCGCCGCTGACCGTGCCTGACACGATGGACTCCCTATGAAATCTCCAATCTTCAAACAAGCTGCATTTGAATGTGCACGCACGTCTAAATCAACCGCGCAACACTTTCTGGGCCACAGCGCTCTTCTGCGCCAATGAACGCAGGCACGCGAAAAGTGGCAACGCGTGCTGCCACTGCCACCTCGCCCGAGACGGCACCATGACGTACACCTCCCCACAACCCGTAGCCCTGTGGGAGCGCCAGGTAAACGTGCTGCCAGCTGGTTGATCCAGGCAGATGCCAACATTGCAACCCAAGTCGGTTGAAGTGGCACTACCACAGGATGTCTTGGGGCCAGGTCCCCTGGCCAGTCATACCAAAGGCGACCAAACTTTCGGGCGCTATAGCAAGGCCCTACAAGTCAGCATGCAACCAACGCCGTCCTCAGGATTGGAGTCGTCGTCCTCATCCTCTTCATCTAGAGGAATGTCCTTGCCACTGGCATAACGGCTCTGCATGGATTTCTCTACCACAACAACATGCCCATGTCCATTCCTCTGCTGAATGTCAGGTCAACATACACATCCAGGCGAAGCACTGGCAAGGCACCAAGCACAGGCCTCTGGTTTTAGCATGCCAGTGGGCTTTCGGGAGCTCGCAGCAGTCCTGGATAGGCAGAAGTTCGAACGCAAGCGCGCAGCGCTTGATGATTTCCAACAAAACGATTGAGGATAACGTCCGATATGGCTGTGGGAAGGTGTGAAAAAGCAACCGCTTGTCAGTGTGTGTGTGTGGTGTATTTGTGTGTGTGCGTGTGTGCGC